TTGACACACTGATCCTAAATTTCATATGGAAATGCAAAGGACACAGAGTACACAAAGTATCTTGAGGTAGAACAAAGTCGAAGGACTGACACCTCCTGATTTCAAAACTTACGGCACAGTCACAACATTCAAGACAGTGTGGCACTGGCATAAGAACAGACATACAGACTAATGGACTGCGAAGAGGCCAGAAATAAATACTCACACCTACACTCAGGCAATTTCCCATAAGAGGGCCAAGGCAATTCAATAAGAAAAGAATCATCCTCTCAACAAGTGGTGCCAGAACAGGATATTCACATGCAAAATAATGAAGCTGAGCTCCTATCTTATACCACATGTAAAAATTGACTCAAAAACGGATGACAGACCATTTATACAAGGTATAAAACTTGTAGAAGAAAATATAGCATTAAATCTTTGAGGTAGGTGGTTTCTTTCGCTCATGCCAGCTCTGGCACTGTCTTTTCTCTCTCCTTTCTCTAATAAACTTTGTTTGAAAACTGTGCTGGCCACTCTAAAATTCAATTTAGAAATGAGCCAAAGAATCCACAAGTTTTGCACCACACCACACCCCACCCAGCATCAAACTTACAATGCCATATTTTATTACAGTGGAGAACAGTTTCTAGAACAAGAGACATCTTATTGGCTCTTCATGACCTTCACGACATAGACCCCACAGCAGTCATGGCAGCAGTCATATGACTGACCCACCCATCTACCTGCTGTCCATCACCCAACGTCTCTACCTGTTCCCTCTGTGATTATGTGAAGCAGACTACCACCCAATCACCTTAACAGCCTGCCCCCATCAAGGGGAAAGTTTAAAAGGCATTAGACTTTGAGCAGCCATTCACCATTGCTTTACTAAACTCTGGTGTGGCCATGTGCTCATTAAGTTATGGCCATCATGTTTTCCTAGCTTTGGCCCCCTCCCCTACCTTGGGGAGGTGAATCTCTCTCTAATTTACTTTCTAAATAAACTATATTTTCCAATCTAAATACACACACACACACACACACACACACACACACACACACAAATTGAGGTAGGCAAAGGTATTTTAAATATGACACCAAAAGCACAGCGACAAAAAATAGTTTAATTGGACATCATCAAAATTTAAAATCTCTGCACTTCAAAATACACCATAATATTTTTTAAAACCAGTTCACAGAATCGGAGAAAATATGTGAAAAATCATACACCTATTAAGGGATTTGCATCTAGAATATATAAAGAACTCTTACAACTCAATAATTTTAAAAAGACAAAAGCTTTAAAAAAGAACAAAGGATCCAAATACACATTTCTCCAAAGATGATACATGAATGGCCAATAACCACATGAAAAGATGCTAATCAGCATTTACCATCAGGGTAATGCAAATCAAAGCCACAATGAGAAATCACTTCATAACCAAGAAGATGTCTATAAACAAAAAGATAACAAGTGTTACTGAAAATGTAGGCAAATTGGAATCCTCATACATTGCAATGTTAGTGCAATAAATAGTATAGCTCTTGTGGAAAACAGTCTGGTATTTCCTCAAATGATGAATGCAGAGATACTATATGATCCAGCAATTTCACTCCTACAGACACACCCAAGAAAAATAAAAACATACATTCATGCAAAAGCTTGTGCATGAATGTTCATGGCAGTGTTATTCTACAGAATACCTCGGAGACATCGCAGGTTCAGTTCCAGACCACTGCAACAAAGCGAGTATCACACTAAAGCCAGTCACCCACTGCATATAAAAATTGTTTACACTATACCGTAACTGTGTGTGTAACAGCATTATGTCTTTTAAAAAGTACATGTCTTAATTTAAAAATACTTTGTTGCTAAAAAATGCTGACACAGACCAGGTGTGGTGGCTCAGACCTTTGCCACGGCAGGAGGCTTGCTGGAGCTCAAGAGTTTGAGAGCAGCTTAGGCAACACAGTGAAACCTCATAGAGATAATAAATCAAAAAATTAGTCTAGCGTGGTAGCATGCACCTGTAGTCCCAGCTACTTGGGAGGCTGAGGCAGAAGTATCACCTGAGCCCACAAGTTCAAGGCCACGGTGAGCCATGATTGTTCACTGCCCTCCAGCCTGGGCAACAGGATAAGATTCCAACTCTAAAATAAAAAGTTATGATTTCTTTTTTTTTTTTGAGTCAGAGTCTCACTCTGTCGTCCAGGCTAGAGTGCAGTGACAGGCTCACAGCCACCACAGTTTCAATCTGCTGGGCTCAGGTGAATCCTTTAGTTCAGCCTCCCAAGTAGCTGGAAATAGAGGTGTGCAGACAACTGGCAGAATGGACTGTAGATTTAATGATACTATTGTATGAATGTTAAACTTCTTGATTTTGAAAATCTAGTATGGTTTTGCAAGATATTCTCTTATAAGAGCCACAGCGCAATTTCAAAATTCTTGCTCTTAGGAAAATATACAATGAAGTACTCAGAGTAAAGGGGTATAATGTCTGCAACTACTCTCAAATGGTCCCCCCCAAAAAGTGTGTTCAAATATATACGTACACATATATAAATGCATGTACATGGCAGGGAGGGAAAAAGGGAGGAGGAAGGAACAGAATGAATGGGGGAAATGTTAACAACTGTTGAATCTTGTCAACGGCACATGAGAAGTCTCTGCTATTCTTGCAGTGTATCTTCATATTTGAAGTTATCGCACTATAAACAGATATAGGAATGGGGACTGTTCTTGATAATTTAATACAGCCTCATTTAACATACCATTTCAAATGGTCAAATATATTTGATACAGAACATACAAACACATTTAACATGGTCTACTTGTTATGCATTTGTCTATCCTAAAAGACAAGTCATCTTTTGAAAGTCATCAACTCAACACATTTTAACTAAATTAAGTTTGGTGATTAGATCCTCTCCATGGGCTAAAGCTGAATTCTCCCTCTACTCACTGAATGCCAAATCTCCAGATAATTGCCAAAATTAGAAATTAGTCAGAATTGAGTTCCTTGAAATTGATTTCCCTAATTAGTGCTACAACTGTAGCTTAGTGTAATCCCACAGTCAAGTTCTTTCGCCCACACTTAAAGTTAATCCACTCAAGGAAGGAATACTTACTTGTAGTTCAGCTAGCCAACAAGTGGCACTACATAATAAGGTCACATAAGAGCTCACTGTGAGCCATGAAACAGAGAATATCCTTAAGTCAAGGCCAAGATGGAGTCAAGGCCAAGACGAACTTTCTTCAAACAAGGACTCATGTCTTTTGGCAACACTGCAGTGATGCTTACCATTTCAGATGACAGGTTTCCCAAAGCTTTATCTACGTACTTTATAAAATATTTTATGTGTGTATATCTTTTAGATAAACTTTGTTTCCAAACTCCCAGAGAACTGTTTCTCTTTATTAATTAGTCACTCTCCACCAACTGTATTTTCCCCTAAACAGACACTTTAAAATTGGCTACAATATATTCAGTGTAAGTTTTGTTGATTTTCCCTACATATATAATTAATGTTTTGATAGCTCCATATGGCCTGATACTTTTTAAATCTGTCTCAAGGTTTTTCAACATCCCTTTTTTTAAACCACAAAAACTGGAACGGGGAATTGAGTCCAATCTCTGTGCCCCACTGCAAGATCTTATTGTGGTAGTCCCTATCTGTATCAACATGGGCCCCCTTGAGCAGTCTGCTTTACCATCTTAAAAAAAAACAAAAAACCAGGCAGGGCACAGAGGCTCATGCCTGTAATCCCAGCACTTCGGAAGGCCGAGGCAAGAGGTATTGGCTGAGCTCAGGGGTTCGAGACCAGCCTGAGAAACATGGCGAGACCTCGTCTCTACAATAAATCAAAAAAAGTAGCCGGGTGTGGTGGTGTGCACCTGTGGTTCCAGCTACTTGGATTGCCTGAGCCCAGCAGGTCAAGACTGTGATGGCCGTGAGAGTGCCACTGCACTCCAGCCTGAGTAACAAAGTGAGATTCCAACTCAAAAAAAACAAAAAAACAAAAACAAAAACTAAAGAGGAGCAAAAGTAATATTATAATACTCAAAAGGGAAATTTTTAAAAAGGAAATCTAAGAAAATATGTGCCTTCTAACAACTAAAAAGAATAAATATTTTGAAGATATAAAATTGATTATTAGGAGAAAAATCATTATAAAATTGGGATAAAAGGAAAAAGTGACTGATCTCACTGCAAGTTTCCCCCAGAAGGCAGTAAGCTCATCATGACGGCACTTGGGAAAGAAACCTGGAGAAGTCATGGTTTGAGGACTTGGACCCATTTCACCCTACGGAGCCTTTACAGCTGACCTTCTACTCTGTGACGAGAATAAGCTGAAAATAGAAGAAAATGGTACACCCCACCACATTCCTTTAAATCTCACAATTTTACCTGCCACAACCATTAGTTCCATGTGTGTAAATGTAATAGCTTTTGGCTCTGTTAGAATAAAGATGAGTCCTGTCCAAAATCTCTGAGATGGTGCAATAGCTACTTCCTGTTTACCTATCATTGGTCTTTCCTAAATAGACTCTCAGATTATAGATAGCGAGAAAAGGGGCATTAAATGTCCTACACCATACTGAGAAGAGTGTAACATGTAGCTAGCTATAGAATGAACTATTTTATTAATGGAGCTAATTCCAAAAAAAATCCAATTACACGTCTGAGGAAAAAATGATTCTGTTTGGAAATAAAATGCACTTTCTACCATTTTCCTTCCCCCGGAATATTGCTATCCCTAAGTTAGTGATAACCTCATTATCCACCAAATGTTTTCACGTATCCAACCTTCTTCTACAAAGTAGCAAATGAACTTAAATCTTCCCATTGTCCAACCATATTGTTGTAGTATAAAAGAAATTATGTTTTATTTCTTTAAAATAAACTTATTTTCTTTCCACAGTTTACAAAACCTGCAGAGATAAAAGACTGTTAGCCACAATTAAACCATCTATGAAAATCACTACAAGCAAACTACTCATTTGTTAAAAGGATATAATTTGGAGGAAGAAAGTTCCAGCTCAAGACCTGATTGGCGAGCGCCAGGTAGCGCTGGAACACTGAAGACATCTGAGCACTGAGGTTTTCCCGCCTGCTGAACTCCTGCAGAACCTCCACGGTGAGCAGAAAGATCTGCCGAAGGTCTTCTTCCTGCAGTCCGTCAAGCACAAGGATTTTTAGACGGAAGACTTATTCATAGTGCACTCCCTATTAGAACCATGAAACAAAACAAGCAAAAACCTTAAAATTCCCAGTGGAGAACACGATTTCCTTAAGAATATGCTCCATTTTCAGGCCTCCACTTGTAATTTACATCACAGCAGGCTTCCAAGGGGGCACCATCGGAATATATTCACTGTGATGCGAATGCTACTCCCTGGAGAGCCAGTCTTTACCAACTACTGCAGAGCCAGAGAGTCAGTTGCTACAGCGTAGAGCCCCCGGATTTAAGCCAATGCCTTCACGTAACTGCACTCCAGAGCCAAACAATGCACACAAGACAAAGAGCCCACACCATCTGCAATAACATTTTAAATACATGGCCCTCTCTGGCATTCTTCCAGTCCTATTTTTAAGACCAGCAGAATCCCATCAGCTGAATTAGCTATATCTAAGCACAATAAAAAATAAATAATAAACTAAGATCTTCACAGTAGTATTCTTTTTGTTTTGCTTAAAAAGACCAGAATTAAACAATTTTAAACTGTCAACTACGTTCACCAAACCTGTCATTCTTGAAATCACAAAACAAATCCTCAATCCTCAAGTATAGGCTATCATTCAGCTACATAAATGTTTTCACTTCATTAGGAAGAGACTGAGCAAAAAGTAAATGATCCAATCATTAAAACACAAGAACAAAATTCCAATACCTGAAAAACTCTTTTGCAGTTACCATGGAATTCCATACTCAATCCAATGTTGCTAGTTTTACTTGAACTTGAAAATTCACTCAACAGTGCAGTTAGAATAGAACACGCCAGAGTTTGCTGTAATTATTTGGTAAGAAATAATTGTGAGGCATTATTGCTTCAACACTTTCTTTCAAAACATTAGTTCAAACATATTAGAACATTTTCTATCTTGAAATCTCCCGTTATCTCTTTAGATTTTATGACTAACCACCAGTCAGAAAACTAGAGGTGACAAAATAAAAAACAGCTCTCCTTCCTTAAATGACCCATGAAGTGTTCATACACTTCCTTAACTGCAGTTGTATAAATCTGAGACTTGAATTCAGGACACACAAAAATGCATTCCCAAGCAGATGAAAAGTAAAATTGATCTATAATGTCTAAAGATACTAATATTTAATGGTAAAATATTAACCAGGTAGTACCCAAAAGTTTTTTAAGTCAAATATAAAGATCTTCCTGCTCATTGGTTCTATCCAACAGACTCCTAAGATCAGCTTACTGATTTTATTCACAGACTATTTAGAGTCAAGGTACCAAGGATGGAGAGAGGATACGAATTATTTTGGCACCTTTCCAAGAGTTAAACAGAAATATGCACACTACCTCTGAACACCCGAAAGATTAAAGTCAGGATGATACTATTTATGCAAGCTTACACAACAGCTGAAGAGTCATACCCACCCACCAACTGCAACATCTTTGTTCAGAAATGCTTCTGATGTCAGTACCTTGACCTTACAGATGCTTATCTCGGCAAATCTTAGCAATTATACTTAAAATTAAATTCCTAAAGATCGGCATGAGATGTGTATTGAAGGTAACAGTTACATGGGTGGCCAATAGACTATTTGTCTGCTTTGCATATGTCTGAAATTTTTCTTCAAAAAAATGCAAAAATAAAATTAAATTCCCGTTTCCCTCTGAATCCCAACACAATAAGCCTGAAACTTGACCAATATTTACAGCAGACATACTACGTATACAGTCCAGCAGTTTCCCAGACTTTTCTACCCCTGGAAGTAAACGCAGACTCTCCAGGTAACCTGGGAGGATTGGTCCCGGACGCCTTCCAAAATCATAAAAGTTCTCTGAATGTTACTGGTTTAGCTTAAACACATATACACACTTTATAATCTTACTTCACAACAAAATTCGTTTTTATGTAAAGATGTCCCTCCTTCCCAAACCTTCAAGAAAGTTGTTTAGTTGCCTTTGTGTGGCAGTGACTGAGAGACCAGTCACTGAAGCCTCTCAGAGAAAAAAGCTGATCACATATTCCTGTTGCTTTACTGTTTAGAGGGATCTCAGAGACTCAGCAAGTACAATCCCCTCATTTTTCAGTCAACAAAATTATAATTTTAGAAAATGGTTTTACTTTAAAATGGTAATTAATGATTAAAGTGCCAGCAATCAACACATCACAGACGCACTTAAGTAACATCAAGATCAATGATAAACATGATTTTAAAACATGGTTAGGCTTTGGTGGAGAAAGTAGGTATTAAATAAAATTCATGAAATTCAGAGGAAAAAGCAACTCATAACAATGTAACAGGATGAATTCCAAGACGCTAGGATTCTGAAATTTTTCATAGAACTTAGCCTTAGCTTTCCACTTACCCTTTCTAAATAATACTTCAGTCAATACAGCATTATAAGCAGATATCTAAATGTTTGAGCAAATTTTTACTAAAAAGGAAATTAATTTCAGAATCTCAGATAAAATAATCTATTGAAAACAGAACTCACACCATAACATATAAAACCCTGCAAGCCAACAAGAACTCAGAAGCATTCATTAAACACAAACTGTTTTCATTCTTACAAATAAATAATCTACAACAATTTTTCACAGGTAATTTACAACTTGCCACAGATTTTTTTTAGTGCATTCACTACCAAATGGCCTATTTTAAACCATGACTATATTCAAATTTTCAGTAACATATCCCTAATTAATGATTAATTAATCTCAGAATAAAGCCTAACTTTGACATGAAATAAACATTTCCCAAAATTATACGGATGTATTTATGGCCAAGTTGTGAAGTAAACAAGTGAGGAGAGGGGCAGGGCAGTGACAGGGCAGAGCCCCGAGGCAGAGGCTGAGGCTGAGGCTGAAGCTGAGGATGCTCCAGCTCGGAGCGAACTTGAAATCCTTCACCAAACAACAAGAGCCAGGGGCATGGAATAGTGAAAAATGCATCTCTCCAAAGAGCCAACTTCCACACTTTATGCTTTTGAAATAAAAATCTTTAAAAGCAAGTATGTTCTATTCAAATATGTCACTTAAAGAATTCAGAAATACATAAAAATAAACTGTCATACAGCGTGATTAGAGGCATTACCAGAAATCAAATATTCTGGTTTTAACTGTACCTAAAATCATCAACTTTCAAAGAAGTAAAATTTAATAAGATATTTGCATCATTAAAAGATACCAAACAAGCTGGGCTCGGTAGCTCAGCCTGTAATCCCGTGTCTTTGGAAGGCTGAGGTGAATGGATTGCCTGAGCCCGCGGGTTCGAGACCCGCCTGGGCAGGCGAGACCTCATCTCTACAATAAATAAAAAAATCAGCCGGGCGTGGTAGCGCATGCCTGTAATTCCGGCTACTTGGAAGGCTGAGGCGGAAGGATCGCCGGAGCCCAGCAGGTCAAGGCTGTGGTGGCTGGTAGTGGCCACTGCACTCCAGTCTGGGCGACAGAGTGAGACTCCAACTCAAAAAAAAAAAAAAAAAAAAAAAGATACCAAACAGTTTAATCTCTTCTTAATTTGGAAGTCTTGTAAGGATATGAGATTGGCATGATAAACATTAATTATACTATACTGTTCCAGCTCAAAAGTGCCAAATGAACAGATTCCCGGAGAACGATGAATAATTAAACATTGATGATACATTACGAGAGCAAAGAACTTCCCCACATATCAACAAAGTATTTCTCCCTATTCATAAGGAATTAAACCTATCACAAAATGTCTAAGACTCACTTCCAAATGTTTACTCATTTTCAGTATTTAATGATCGAATAAATCCCCTTAAAATGAAGTTACTCTTGTATTGTAATGAAGATAGGGAAGCAAGCCAAAAATAAAACTCCCAAGGGAGAACAGAGGACAGCTCCTTCCCAGCACAGAGAAGGAAAAACAGCAGCAAATCTGCAGAGACAGCAGGTCAGCTTGAGTTTTTCTTACCCTTCTAGAAGGTTCCTATCTGCTTCCTTCAGACTTTTAGGACCCCACGGCAACACCGAGGGCATGGTCTCTTAACTCCCCTCTCCTGACTAGCACCTGCAAGCACTGCCTCTCTGGACATCATCTTTTCAGGGCTAGATATTTGTCCATAGTAGAACCAGTGGCTCTACCCTTTAGAGGATCAGAAACATAAGCTGTAGTAAATAATGTCAATGAAATCAGATCTAAGTTGACTTATCTAAGATCTAAGCTGGCTGATTGATAAGCAGCATGAGACTGCCATAGTAAAGTCTGCCACACTAAAGCTGACTTATGTCTGCTTCACAGCTTTCCTCAATCACCCTTGTCCTTGTCTGTCACTCCCTGCTGCTGGCAATTTGACTACCTGTTCTCCATTGATCATTTTCATTTGCCAACAAGTTAGAAACCAAATAACAAAACTTACTAAAAAGAATCCTAGGCATAAACACTCTGCAGGATTCCTTCAAGAATCAAATACAAGAATCCCATTGTCTGAACACTTCTAATGCACAGATGTACATCATTTATATACCACTGCTATCAACCCATGTATATTGTTTCACATTTTGCTTTTCTACTTTACACTTTTTAAATAAAAAGAGAAATCTGTAAAGACAAGAATGTTCTTGTTTTTAGACAAGAGTCAGAAAAATCTGGGTTCCAGCAGTCCAAGATTTCATACTTCAAATATCTGTAGGCAAAGCACTTCATTTATTTCGGGCTCCAGCTTTCTCATCTATAAAAAAGGCCACTACCCTCTCCCCTGCCTAATTTACATGAACGCCCCAAGGTTCCAATTAGATGATGCAGGTAAAAGCACTATGTAAATACAGCAAGTCATCACAAGATAAGGTAAAGTAGCAACAGTATTTTTCATCATTATCATGAAAAATAACAACAACCTATTTTGACATTTTTGGTCCTACTTCTTGCTGATTGTTATCTAAATTCTGCCAAATTAAAATTCCAAAATATGTTATTGCTTTTAAAAAAAGAGAACTACAACTAAAAACACTACAGCAACATAGTATATGTTCAGTAAATGTTGTTTGGATTAACAAATCAATGTTTACTTCAATGCCCAGCACAATGTAAACACATGGGAAGGTGGAAAATAAATACATGAAGCGTTTCCTTTTTTTTTTTTTTTTTATAGCTGTGAGGTCCCAAGGTTACAAAAAGTCTAATGTATCTTCCTTCATTGAAATACTGAAAATTCACAAGTTAATTCACGGACTAACAATTCGAGTTACTCTTGTCTTTACATTAAAAATTTTATAGCAGCATCCTCATTTCTAGTAAAAGCTATTAATTTCAAGCTAGAGAAAACATGCCCTTCAGAGATAGCATGCCTTACTCACCAGCTTACTGTCACAAGCACAAGATACTCAAACACTAACTCCAGCTGACAAAATAAAATACTCTTGTTCAGTGAGAGGATTGTCTCTTATAATAGCCTGGCTCTTACCCCAGGAGCTTTATTACCAAGAATAAACTTTATGAAAGGTTGCCATACATAAAGCAGACTTCCAGCTGCTCTTCTAAGCAAACATCAATGAGACTTGTGATAAGAGAGATTAACTTGGCTATCACATCCAGGGGCAGCTCTGCTGTAGACAAGTGAATTTCTCACCCACTTCTCGCTAGTCCTGCAAAGAGGAGGAAAGGAGGCTTAAATGCTAAATAGCTTTAAAACTGATTTAATGTATGCGTACCACTTTCAAAGAAAACAAGACAAGTATAAACTAGATTAAAATTTTAGCTTAAACGTTGGCTTAATACTAAAAAAAAGTAGCTCTTTTCCTAGGAAGGAAAGTTTTCACATTCCTCTCAAATTAGTATTGAGAGCAGGTCTGACACTGCTGCAGACTGAGATGAAGTAACCATGGTTACCTCCATAATCATGGAAAGAAAACATCATAACTGCCCACAGAGACAGGCATAAAATAATTTATTACTTAATAATCATACAATCATAATTATACTAAGAATACATCATGATACATGGAAAACTGTATTGTGTCTAAAAAAGTCATCTTCTTAGAAAAACGTTTACATGAATTAGATATAATCTTTTCATAAAACTACTTCTTAAAGTCTCCAAAGGAAAGTTAATATGTTGGTTATCTATTTTTTAATTACATAAACAGTTTTCACTCATGGATATACTTTCTTCTGCTTTTCAATACTTAAAAAAATTGTTTGACAGAGGAGAGATGACTCACGTCCCAAGATGGTATAAAGAAAGAGCAAGAGGCTACTGGGAGATAGCCAAACACTTGCAAGTGCATCTCATCACACTTCTTTTCCATAAAATGTGAGCTCGTGCCTGGAGAAGTTAATTTATTCCTTCAAGTTAGGTACATCGTAAATGGCAGAACCCAAGTGTGTGACTCCAAAATCAGTATTCTATTATTCTACACTGACCCTAAGCCTGTATAAACGTGCACACGAGGCTAGAGTGGGCAACAGACCACCAAAAATCAATATTCTTTGAAAGTGAACAGTCCTAGCCGGGCTTGGTGGCTCAGCCTGTAATCCCGCGCCTTTGGGAGGCTGAGGTGAGTGGATTGCCTGAGCCCGCAGGTTCGAGACCCGCCTGGGCAGCGAGACCTCATCTCTACAATAAATCAAAAAAAAATCAGCCGGGCGTGGTAGCGCATGCCTGTAATTCCGGCTACTTGGAAGGCTGAGGCAGAAGGATCACCAGAGCCCAGCAGGTCGAGGCTGCAGTGGCCAGGACTGCACTCCAGTCTGGGCAACAGAGTGAGACTCCAACTCAAAAAAAAAAAAAAAAAAAGAAAGAAAGTGAACAGTCTTTAGCTAATGAAGGTGGTTGGTAACATCATTCCAGAAGAGGTGAGGGAAACGTTCGCCAACTAACTCAGCAGTTCATGAGGTCAACCCTTTCCTCATCTACAGAAAAGCATTAGTTAATTTTATCTTCTGTTCAAATCTCTCCCCAAATCACCTATATAAAGAAAGCTTCTAGCCAATACCAGATCCATGTTCTGATCATTTTACCATTCTGCTTTCTGAGGTTTTAATTTCTCTTCAGCTACTGTTCATGTCTCTTGAGACTAAGAAAATATTCAGTCTATTATTGAACCCCACACATTCTTAACAGAACGAGGAAGATAAGGTGAGAAGAAGATGTACGACACTGTCTTCACCTCATTTTCCAGACCTGCCTAATGAGTCAGTTTCACGCTGCTGGGCAAGAACAAACTGGGATGGCCAGTGTGTGCGTTTAACTCGCTATAAAATGAAGACACTGCTTTTCAAGTTCAACATCTTTAACGTAGTCAACAAAATAAATTCACCCTGCAATCTTGAAATTAAATTCTACCTCCCATTATTGATTTCCTGCTGCAAAAGAGTTCTTAGCCTTGTTATTAAAAATTTGACTTTTAAAAAAAGTCAAAATCTTTGAAGTATTTCCTGAGAATATTAAATTTATCCACTATTCTCAAAGCGTATGCACTATGAATCGAGGCAAATCTTCTCTAACTAAACAGCTACATCTGTTCCAATCATTCTCAGAACATCAGTTATTTACAGTGGCTCAAAAACTCCAATTGTCAGGTTGCAGTAGGACTACTTTTTGTGCTGGGTCAAATTACCCCAGGGGAAAGGAAGCAGAGGACGCAATTCCCCAGTGTGTGCTCATTCCTGAGGGAGGCTGGGGACTCTTGATCCTGCCCTGTAGCCTCCCAGTGCCAAGAAGCTACATGTGGGGGTGAGGGCAAGCCACAGAAACTCTGCCTCAATACCAAAATCCCCACTGGAATGATTCCCAAACCCCCAAGGGAAAGGCACTGCCACACTCCGATAGACCTCAGGGTTACGAAGGGTGCTCCTCCAGTTTAAGTCCTGTCCAACAAAATGAGCTGACGCCCTGACCGCAGACTGTCAAAACAAAACAAGACATTGATTCAGAGCATCAGAGATGGGAAGAGGCTTCCAAGTGGCAGCCCCAGGTGCAAGGCTTTTTCCCTCTAGTTTAGCTACCTGCCTCCTCCACTTCTTTTTCCTGGGCCCCCGATGACAGGCACCATCAGAAGGTACGTGTGGCCATCAGTTTGGAAGCAAACACTATCAAAATACACACAGATACCAAGACTCCCATCACACAACCCACACAGGCATCCCTGAAGCATCGCACCTCGAGAGCTTTGCTCCCCATAAGGAAGGAGACCACACCCACCACCAACAGAGAACTGAGACGCAGAGAGAAAAATGAGTGAGAAGCAGCTTTCCAGCGGCATCACCTCCAACACTTCAGTAGACTCTTATCAGAGGAGGACCTTCAAGGAATCTTCTCCCCACATAAAACAAAACTATCATGACTTATAAAACTTAATGATTCAAATATACGCATTTTGAAGTTGTTAGTTTTATATAAATAGTTAAATTTCACAATACTAAGATTAGGTCAAAAAGGACATAAAATTAGACCTTTGGATTACGAAAGTCTCTAGAACTACACTGTACAATACAATTACCACTAACTATATGTAGCTATTTGAATTTAAATTATTTAAAATTTTAAAAATTTGAAAATTCAGTTTCTAAGTCACACTAGCCACATTTCATATGCTCAAAAGCCACAGTGGCATCATGGCTACAAACTGGAGAGTAAGGGTAGAGAACTTCTGTGTTAGCTACTTTTGAAGAAATCTCTCAAAACGTGGCATCAAACACAATACCACACAATCAAAGAACAAAAGTAGACAGAAATGTTCTGCATCTTGACTCTGGCAGGAATGCACTGTATACATGAGTGTGTCACAACCTACCAAGTGTCCATTTCAGTAATGTATGTAAATGACTCCTCAATAAAGTTGATAAGAAAAAAAGAATAAATACATGACCACTGATGAATTCCAAAGGAAAACAAATGCCACTCAGGTGTGTACAGGAAGTTCTACAGTCCTGGCCCCCTCACTTGGTCTGGGGCCTCAGACAGAGGAAGCAGAAGGCAGGTAGTGAGATTGGTGCATGACCAAGTGTGGTAGAGGGCTGTGGGGAAGGGAGAAGGGACGTGAGCCTGGCAGGAGGACGTGGCCCTCCTAGCAGATGCCACTGCATCTTTACCTCAAAGTACCAACCACGCCACAAAGGCCACGCCCCTCGCTCGGGAGCCACCGAAGCTCTGATGGAATGCATGCAGTGGCGTACAGTCTCACAGACGCCTTTCAAAGGATCAAAGAAACTGTAAAAGCAATAAACTACCCCAAATATTTAAAGACACAATCCCTGAAGCTCGGAAGGGACCAGCACCACCGATCCCAATTTCGCGTGGGCCAAGGATCCTCAGTTGACAAAAGTTGATAATTCAGACTAAGGATCACAGCTGATCTTAACACCACTCCAGCTCCTCTGTCCTGGAAGGGACTGCAGCCAGGCAGCCGCTCTCCAGTCACTACTCTTGCTCCAAAAGTAGACAGGAGGCGGAGGGGGAGTCGTGCCCCCCAGAGCAATTCAGTTGAGGGCAATGGCCTCAGGTTTGCTCTGCTGACAGTAACTCCTGGAAGTCATGGAATACCTCAACCAATTAGGAGCACAACACTATGATTTTTTTCATGTCAGATGTCATTTTATACTTTAGTCAACCATTTCCATAGTCATTAGTTGCTATCAAAAGTTTACTAAAAATGGGGGGAAAGTTCAATAGGAATGGCTAAAAATATTATTAGCTTACAATACTTTACAACCATTAAAATGATCATGAACACTATGGCAACAAAACGCAGAATCAAATGGAAGAGCAAAGCACACCTCTATAGCATGTAGACATCTAAAAAGACCACAGGAAAACCTGAACAAATGAAAACTGCTTGACTGATCGGCTTGTGGACTTCTTTTATGCAGATAGCCGTTACTGTTGCTCTAATGCTACTTGCGTAAGACAAAATATAAACTGTTGATACTTACAAACACAAACAGCACACTTACCACAGTGGGATTGCCACTACTTATCAACTGGCTGACTTCATGGAAAATGCTTTTGCAGTCAATTGATTTATCCAATGATCCTCGTTTTACAATCACTGCTACTGCTAGTAGAATCTGTTCCCGAACATATTTTTGGAGGCTGTAAAACATAAAAATCATTGTGAAAAACATTGATCTAAGTCCAGCATCAAAGTACTCCCGAGTTCCTCAATGTGCCTGAAGCTACTAACAACAGTGCTAACAGCTGAGTGTAGTACAGCCAGACTCAAAACCAGAAGACCGGGGCTGGAATTCGGGCTCCAGTATTTACTGGCCTGTGACCCTTGGGCAAGACAGCACACAGAGCCTCTCAGTTTCCTCACCTGTGAAATGAGGACAACACTAACAGGGTGATTATTAGGATGAACTGTTCCTAGAACTGTGTTGAGTACATACTAAGCACTACGTGTGTGTTAGCTACTTCAGTTTTCAGTAGATCCAAAGCAGCTCCCTGTTAAATGTAGGGGAAGAATCACTAAGATTAGGATTCCACTAATTTGGAGAGAAGTTCTGATCCGATATTCATCTCTAACCGGTGTCTACTCCTAAGTCCCATTTCCCCGTAGAGTGTAAAGGCAACATACCAGCTATCCCAGGTGCAACATTATACAAACACACAACTGTCAGAAAACTTGTAAAAATGTCCTATTTAGGTTCTGTTCCTCTGTATGACAGAAGCATCCATTCCAAGTCAAGGCATTCTACAAAGCCCATTTCAACCACTGGGCACAGAGGTGTAACTCTTTTCATAAGCTTTTCTTTTCACAAGCTTTTCTGAAAGGTAAGGCTCGGAAAACACAACCCTGGACTTTATAATCCAGCTTCAAGAATGTCACAAAGATACAACAACCATGTGCCCTTGGGATAAACTTAGACTTCTCAACATGGCCTCAAAGTAGTGGGACCCACCCTGGCTTCCCAGAGACGGTCCCAGTATACCTGCTTTCCTTCACTCTAGAAGGTATCCCTGTTTGCACGAAAGTTACAGTCATCCGCCCCCAGAAGGCCCTCTGCAGCCAGGGCCTGCGCCTCTCTCTGACCTCACCCTTCACACTCTCAGAACTGCAGGCACACGAAACTTTTCCCACGTCCCTGTCCCACACTCTCGCCTTCCCAGACCTCTAAGTTTCTACCCACTCTGCCAAGATTGTGCTGCCACGCACGCTCCCCCGAAAGTAAGCGCAGAGGGCTCCTGCAGCCCCCTCCCATGCCACGCCACATCTCTTACTACTGCAAACCCTATCCCTGATGGTCTGTCCACTCTCAGCACACCAGAACACGCTAAGCACACTGCCTGCCTGCAATACTAGACATTTATGTGAATGAACAAGCATGTCCCCCAGGTCAAGACTGAAGTGAAAAATATCCTTCACAGCACAGGCTTGAGTCATTCGTCCTTCATTCCTTAAGCAAACAAATGCTGAGCTCCTACTGCAAGTGGAGTATTAGTTGATCAAAGGGAATTCTTACACTGTTGAGGGGACAGAATAGATTCCTAGACATAGACTATGACTAGACAATGTACAAAAAGCTGAAGACTGCTACTAGAAATGGACACAAAGCTAGTTTTAAATATCTCTACTGGGGTAACCCATTCGGGTTTCCTCCCACTGTGGGAGCTTTTCTGTCCTCTCAATAAATCCTCCTTTCTCACTTAAAAAAAAACAAAAAACTCTACTGGCAAGTATAGTAATTATTAGGAAAATAATTGTTATCATCTATTGAATGCTTATGATATGCAAGGCTTTAAATGAATTTCACAAACAGTAATAATATATTCGATCCTCACAACAATCTTGAGTACTGTTATTCACTCCATTTAATAATCAGAAAATTAATGTACAAAGTTAAGTAATGTGCCCAGGGTCACAGAGTTAGGTGGCAGAAGTGAGGTGCAAGTCCCTTTCTCAGTCACTGTGTTACCTGACTCTTTAGAAATGGGCACTGTGCATTTCACTCTATACAAAGTTTACCTCAATTACAAGGGGAAAAAAAAAGACGAAAGAAAAAATTCTGTTCATGTAATGAGAAGTGCACAACATTATTTATGTAATATTCTCTATAACCTATAGTATTCTACCTATGCAGTATGCCAAAATGTTTAACTTGACACTAATCCACATTGTAGGGTGTTCTACAAGATAAAAATATCTGTGTCATGAAAGGCAAAAAAAGAGTAAAATTATTCTAGATTAAAAGAAACTAAAGAGACATGACAACTAAATACAATGTATAACCTTTGGTTAAATTCTGGATTAAAAAAAATAAAAATCTACTGTACCTAAATATATAAAGCAAATAATAAAAGCTCTGAAGGGAGACATAGACTATACTACAAAAAAGAAAAAACCTATAAAGAGGAAAATAAATATAAGTAATATTATTCTGACAACTGGGGAATTCAGAATGTTAAATCAAAATTATATTAGGCACTAAGAAAAGTGCAAGGGAAGAACCACCAAGACACTAAGAAAAGTGTCTAATATAATCCTGCACATTCATTGCACTATCCTTACAACCTCGCTAAAAGTTTTTCATTTTTTTCAAAATAAGGATTTGGGGGAAAATACGTAAGTGAGCTATTTCAGCGTGGAGCCCTACAATCAACTTACATTCATGACCAACCAAGTTTTCACTTTCCTAATACTGAGAGTGGATGAAAGTAAAAAAACCTGAAGCTGCTTACTGCAAACATCTGTCGTTAAGCACAAGTCTTTTCTAAATTGTCCCCTTTTTCACAATACAGCTGAAAGTTGCAGACATATCCAGGATTTGCCTCAGACACCACTCTGAGTAGCATTCCACACTTTTATTTTTATTCAGATTATAAACTCGAAAAGATGGTATTCCACCATGACATCAGCAACAACCAGGAACAGAATTTGTAATGACATAAATTCACATCAGTGGTAGCAAATGAGATAACTTCTGAGCTGATCAAAGAAGAGAAAGGTGTTAAGCCAGGAGCAAGTCTTCCTTACTCCATGAACACTGGAAGCACTTAGCTGTGCCCTCCTCACACATAGGAATACCCGCTAATCTGCTCGATGTGTGACCCACCAGACCTGCGAAGCTAGCAGGCTACGTTGAACTTGGCTTTTTTCTCTCACACATTTTTTTCTACATGTCAACCAGCTAGCAGTTAACAAAGTCCTCAAGTCACGTCTGTAATTATTATTAAATATTATGATCTCAGAGAATGTTTGTGGGCACTTGAAAGGAAGAAATGTATGACAGTATGTTCTGAATTGGATTTGAAGTCTTATGTATATGTTTATTGACATTAATCACCGCTCCCAATGACATGCATTTCTCATTACACAACAAACTTTTTCTTCAGTGAATTTGGAAATGAACACCTAAAGTATTTCAGTGCACCATCAGCAACCAACAGCACTACCTATTCTTAAAAGAAAACTTGGTATATGGTGGACTTTGGGGGAAAATGGTAAGTAGTGACTCAATTTCTCCCCAAGATTTGTGTAGCTAATAATTTTCCTCATTTAAAAAAAAATCATTTAAGTAATAAATGTACACAATCTTATATACTGATTAAGCAAAACAGATGTGAATAACATAAAAAGAAAATTCATGCTTACCCATTCCTCAAACCTGATCCCCTCTTTAAAAGAAACTTAAAACAAGAACTTGGCACTTTTTCTTAGGGAACATTTTCTTTGCACATTTTTTATGCATATAGATAGGGAACATCTGGCTTGTGAATGGCACCCAGTCTCTCTCCTTTCCCCTGACTCAGGATACTCACATATGCCTTGCAATACTCGCCAGTCTAAATTTAAGACATGCTCAAAGAAATAACCACCCCTACCAAACACCAGAAGAACAAGCAAATCTAAAGGATTTTCAACTGAGTCCAAGACCAACTTTTTTTTTTTGAGTTGGAGTTTCACTCTTGTAGCCCAGGCTGGAGTGCCAGTGGCACACTTATGGCCAACACAGCCTCGACCTGCTGGGCTTAGGCAATCCTTCCAAGAAGCTGGAACTACATATGCACGCCACCACGCCCAGCAAGTTTTTGTGATTTATTGTAGAGATGAGGTCTCACAAATTGCCCATGCTGGTCTCAAACCCTGGGCTCAGGCAATCCTCTTGCCTTGGTCTCCCAAAGTGCTGGGATTATAGGCTGAGTCACCACACCCAGCTCCAACTTTTTTTTATAACCAAATTCCTCACAACTAAATAGCAACCAAATAATCCTAACATCCAACACAATATTTTCAAAGAAACAAAACCCAAAACCTAGTATCACAAGCTTAAATAAAAGGTGCCATTTCATTAAGTACCAAAACAACACAACTGTGTGTATGAGTCTTTAAACTATGAGTCCCACAGAAAGCTTAACCACAAACACCTACCATTCAGCAAGAAATGAAGAAATCCTCTAATGCACACTGAAAGCCCTGAGAGGATGCACAAGCTCGGCTGCATGTACTCACTTGGGCCTCTGTAAGACGTAGGTCAGGAGGAATGTCCGCAGCGACTCGATGCTGCCTTTCTCCAAGAGGATCCACTCCCGGACGACAGCTTCCATGATGGCGGTGGCAGCTTGGAAAAGGACATAGTCCACTTTGCTAGTTTCTGAGGACAAATTGAAACTGTCTGTAAATAGTAGTTTGTTTTACCTTGAACAGTTTGCGTGTATGAATTTAAAAACAGAACGTTCAGACAAGGAAGAAGATGGTTACCTGTGCTTTTTTTAATCCAGTGACCTTGCGCTAGCACCACAAAGAGGTTAGTTCCTCTCAGAAGACCCCTCAGGCAGGTGGCAGCTAATCACCGATCACAATTTTCACAAACTTTCCTCACCTCTCTTCAACTGTTACTTCCAAAGCATGAAGAACTAAAAAATAACACAGCTTTAAAAAAAATAAAAATAAAAATATAAAGCAATCAGAAAATTTCCTAAGATTCTCACCCTGTGCAAACCAGAACTTTCTTTGTATCTGAAAAAGAGCTTAATAAACTAGTCTTTGAACATTACTATTTGTGATGAGCCATGCTGTTAAAATGTTTCCATTTTTAAGTAATTAAGCTTTCAGCAGAATGATCCATCCCAATAGCAAGTTCAGAAATAAAAACAATCATGTGTAGATTATTTTTTCCAAAATAACAAAATGAGTTGCATTTACACAAGGTGAGAAGTTCTCATGAATTTTCTGATTGCAATATTGATCAAACTGAGTAAAATCCCAAAGCTACACTTACAAAGACCCAGCCTTAACTAGCAAGTTACAGCATCTGAACTAAAAACTGAATTGGGGAGAAAAAATAGAAAATTAACACGTCTAAAAAATTATATTAATTTTCTATTTTTTCTCTTATTAACCAATATCACTATAATCAGTTTCCAAACAGCATTATAAACAAGGAGAAACAGTCAAAATGAAGTCAAGAAAAAGTAGAAATTTCCTGAAGCTCTAAAAAATAACCACTGTGTGGAATCCACGAAAGTCTATAATAAGACTCCAGATTACTTGCCAAGACCATTGGACATGAGTATCTGAAAGCCATAAGAAATTACTCCAGTCATAGAGTGGCATCCTCAAGAAGTTATCAGAAGAGCAGGAAGATATAGCCAGGCATGCTACTTTCTCTCCTATTCAAGCTCAGGTCATTTAAAACTCTTACAAGTGCTCTTGACACAATCAGCTATAAAAATGTGGGAGAAAAGGTGTACCCTAAGTAAATTCCTACAATATTAGACTACTACACAGGGGTTTTGAAAATACCAAAACTGTTCAGAGGAATCAATTTGGACCTTTTTAAAAAAGTTTTGATTATTCTATGCCATCTTAACATGAATTCTGAGATGATAATCAGAACTCACAAAAACTTAGAAACCTTAAAATATGATAATTAAAATAAAGAAATAGCTTCTAAAAATGAGAACCTATAAAAGCTCTGTTTAAAGTTCTAGGAATAAAAAAAAAAGAGGATTTGACCCAGAAGCAACTCCATTTAATCAGATCACTTAAGGAGAAATATGGCATGGTCTCACAAAGGTAATTCAAATAATCTCTTTTTGTCAACCTCCTCTTGAAGAGAATGATGGTTGTTTGCTTGTCTTCATTTTCTATTGTCGTTGTAAAAATTTTAAGAACAAGAAACCGAAAATCCTTGACAAGGATTTTAACAGGAAGCAAAATCTGAGGGACTCTCAGAATTTTAGAAACAGAACTCCAAAGTTCAAGTAAATAAATTCTTGCATTTTACAAGAGTTGAAGAAAGGATGCCCCAAGTGATAGAGAAGAGATTTGAGGTCACATGGTGGGTAAAGGCTCCCCTAATCACTCCTAAACACAAATGCTACAGAAGATGAGCCCATTAAATAAGCAGCTTCAATGTTGACAAGCAGTGAAACATTTGCTTCTAACTGTGCTTATACCCAAGCCTTTTTGATGCCCTTAGGGTGGGAGTGGAGAGGACAATTACAGCAGATGAACATTCAAAAGTTTTCAAGAGACAAAGAAGTTTCAGAACTGTTTCTTTGCTACCACTGCATGGTATTAAAGGAAGATCTGATGGCTACTTCCATAGAAGGTGTCTGCAAGAATGGAGGAATCTGAAAAAAGAAAGCCAAACCCAAGTTTAAGAAAAAGAATCTTCCTAAAACGTATAAAGTGCACGTCCTCATAGAAGCCATGACTAGCCTCGGTAAGCTGCACCTCCCCCAGGGTGTGCAAGAGGCACCAGGAGAGAGCCCGGAGCCTTCCAATGAACTAGCATGCTATCTCACCGGCCTTGGTCTTCCTCTCGGCCATAAAAATGCTCCAGATCGTAAGGTCTTCATGAAGAACTCACGACTCAACTAGAATTTCTAAAATCTGCTTTTAGGAAGATCTGCCACTGCCTAGGCTGCTGTCCATGTAACTAATTATTTCGGGCCACTTTAGCAGAAAGCTTTCACTTGCTACCACAGTAACTTTCTTTAAAAATAATTGTGTGTGTAAAATTCATTTGTATCTTGTCAGCCACTTGAAACTAGACAGAACCATGAAGACAAAAGTGAAAGTGAAATAAATAGTAACAGAGAAAATGCACTACATTCTGATCAAAAAAAGTTTTTTTGAAAAAGAAAAATTAAAGCCCTAGCAGTCAAGCTACAGATGCCCAACTACTGGCATCGCCTCTCTGGGTAAGGTCCAGAAGCCTGCTCTTTTGACTCCATGACACCTTCATCCACCAACTTTCATGTGAAAGATGACCTATCAATTCCTGACAATTGACAGCACTACGAAGGAAGTAACTCTCCAGATCCAGAGAAGTTAAAGTTCATCAGTCTGTCTTTTTAATGGTTTCTTATTTCATTTTGTTTTGGCTACTTCTGAGAGATCAGAAGTAAAAGAAACCCATTTCTCCCTGAGAAAAGGACAAAAGAATGCTCCAAAGTCAGCTCCAGGAGAGGTCAACCAATCCCTCCTGATGCTTGGCTATTTCTTTAACAGGAATAAAACTCACAAGTTTTGAAGGAACATTTGACACTAAAAAACGAGTAAATTCCTAACTGCCAAAAACTTCTGAGTGACGAAGTCTTCAAGTACTCATTGACAAAATGCACCAGCATGCACCATGCACACACAGACACATAATACCACAACACATGGAAAGGAGCAAAGGAAACCAAAACCAGAGCAGAAACAGAAGGGTCAGAAGAGAAAGAAATGAGGATCATATAAAACTAAAGTGAGAAGGGAGAGGGAAGAATTTGAAGAGGCCAAAAAGGGGAAGAGGCAAGGAGAAAGTCTCCCCTTTATTAGAATGTATTACCCAGACGTTCTGTAAAAATGACAACACACAATCCCTAGGTAAGAATGTGAAAATTCTGAACTGCGATTGACTGCCACTTGTATGAGAAGTCTTCTCGGAGGAATTGCCCTTCTGTGCTGGTGGCAACTGAGTAAGGAGTGAAAAGATTTTCTGTGAAGTTCAGATGTAAACATTAATGTAACACAGGGCTTTGCAGTACATTAATGATTATGCTTGTAACACATGCACTCCACCTTTTAAATCGTCAATGTCTCAAAACCCAAACTGATTTTTAAAAGCATGGCCAGAACTAGCAACACTACTCTTTAGAAAATGTTATCAAGAAAACAAAGTATTCCAAAACAGGCTCCAGCATAACAAAGCAATAGCACTTCATAAAATATACATACTCTTAAAAAGGAAAGAGTGACATAAACAAATACGCTCTAATAAAACATTGTAACTTAGATCAACTACCTCCTGCTAGTACAGAATGACAACGGCATCGCGATAGGAAGATGAAACACAGCCCTAGTCATGTCATTAAGGCACAGGCCAGGAAAACCAACTCACTCAAGTGATTACAGGTTAATCATTTAACACAACAGCTTTCTAACTCTATCAGTGCTGGACAATTTCAAGGCAGTAAGGATGAGTTGATGCTCCCTGAAGCTCTTTATGCTAGTGTCCAGTTTTGCTTCTTTCAATTTAACATGGAGTTAAATAGCCTCCATAGGCACAAGATACATTTCGTGCCAGAGACAAATCTACCGAAGCATAAAAGCTGACCACTCAAATAAGTAAATTAATTAAAATGGCCTCATTGAGAACGTAAATGTAGTTGTCAAAACTGTTCCTCTAATGGTAAGACCCAACTCCTGAGTAAGACCCAGACACCTTCACTGCTGCCAGCTTCTTACAAACCAGGAACATGACATGTTTAAGCTGCTCACATTTTTAAAAAGCTATTTACAAATCAGGCCATGTGGCCACGACACTTACTTTGCTGTTCACAAAGTGCTTTTACATATGTAATTACCCTGCACCTCACAACGCCTTAAGACAGCAAGTCCACTCAGACAAGTGGTCCTCTCAGGCCCACACAGGGGATGAAGAGGTGGCTTCCTCCAGGCAACACAGTGCAGTGGGCAGCACTGGCACCTGGCTCTCAGAATGCCTACCTCAGAGCTCTCTCCACTGCCATCCAACAACTCATTCCAAAGTCCTTCTATGAAAGGCCTTCTTAACACATCACTTTAATTGCAATTTATTTCAACCCAGAAACTGGTGTGCTGGTGCCTACAGATATACCTTACTAAAAACAAGACTAAACGGTCAGATGTTTTAGTTCCTAGTAGTCAACTAACCACTTTTATGGTCACAGATGACTCAAAAAGCCTTCCTGAGTCTGAAATATGGGTAATAGAAGATGGTGCCAACTAAGAAAAACAGCCAACGGTAACTACATGCATAATTATGCTAGTTAATTCTATAAGTTGTTCTAAAGTTAATAATCCAAAAGACACATATCCCCATACACTTAATCCACTAAAAAACGAGGATATAAAATAATAATTAGCAACGAAATTGCTTACTATTATTGAAAAATATCTAAGAGGCAGATGGCAACATCATATATAACTCTTAGAAAATGCCATCTTTGGATAAGAGTTATAATTCTGTGACTGTTTTACAAGAGACCACTTCTGTGTATGTGTAAGATATAAGGCACTCATAAAACATACATGACAAAAGGAAAAATCAGTGCTTTATTACAGGATATAGTATTAACCGACCCAGAATGACTAATATTCACTAAGCAGCTTACTATAAATGAAATTGTTTAAAAAAAAAAAAAAAACTATGGAAAAACAACTAAAGGAAGTAAAATGTAGAAACCCTCCAAAAGCAACCTTAATCTTAAAATTAATACTGGGATAAGAGATATTATAGTACATTTCCAGTAACAAATGTCATTTGAAAACAACTGAAAAAGCATTAAATTTTTTCCCCATTATTAATAGCCTTCATGTTACAGTCAATAATAAATTATTGAACATTATATCTAGGGAGGAAAATCCAAAGTATAAACAAAGTTTCTCACCTGGCTCTACAGAATATCTTTAAAGCCTCTAATTTTTATCAATGAAAAACTCTAACTGTATAAATCTGCTTATTTTTAAAGAAACTTAAAATAGCTAATGTTCAAGACAGAAAACCAGATCTGATTATGCCAAAATATTTAAAAAGTGAATACTTACCCAAAATATGCTTGCAAACTGCAAATGGTGATTTTGATTTCCTAAATGATAAGAATATGTGTTCTGCATGCTGGCGCTGTTCATTATTGACCATGGAAGGTGGTGCCTTGAGAGTTAAAAACAAAAACAGAGTGCACTATTTGAGAAAGCTTGAACAACAGCAATTCTTTTACCCAAAAGAAGAGAAAATGCTTTCACTTTTGAGGAACATTAGGGACAGATTCTTGCTTAATTTTTTTTTTTTTTTTAAGGAACTACAGTATGAAACTTTTTTTTTAATCAGAGTCTCACTCTGTCACCCAGGCTAGAGTGCAGTGGCACGATCACAGCTGCCACAGCCTCGACCTGCTGGGTTCCGGCAATCCTTCCAACCTCAGCCTTCTAAGTAGCTGGAACTACAGGCTCGTGCTACCACACCTGGCTAATTTTTTGATTTATTGTAGAGACAAGGTCTCGCCATGTTGCCCAGTTGGTCTCGAACCTGTGGGTTCAAGCAATCCTCTCACCTCCACCTCACAAAGTGCTGAGATTACAGGCATGAACCACCATGTCTGCCTAAAGTATGAAACTTGATAATACATATTTAAAATACAGGTTTCAGCCGGGCTCGGTGGCCCAGCCTGTAATCCGGCGCCTTTGGGAGACTGAGGTGAGCGGATTGCCTGAGCCCGCGGGTTCGAGACCCGCCTGGGCAGCAAGACCTCATCTCTACAATAAATCAAAAAATCAGCCGGGCGTGGTAGCACATGCCTGTAATTCCAGCTACTCGGAAGGCTAAGGCGGAAGGATCGCAGAAGTCCAGAAGGTCGAGGCTGTGGTGGCCAGGAGCGTGCCCCTGCACTCCAGTCTGAGAGACAGAGTGAGACTCCAACTCAAAAAAAAAAAAAATAAAATAAAATAAAATACAGGTTTCAGAAAAAAATAAATTTCTGGCAAGGTTGGGGTCAGAATCTCTTAAAGGTGCTCACATTTTAGAAATCTTCCTAACATTTTTTTGTATTTTCTTTAAACATAACTGACTTACCACCTTTTATTCCAAAATATACCACTCAGCTTAACTTGACTTGTTCCAAATAATTTCTAAATTCTTCAGTACTGGTGAAACTGAATCCAAGTTACTAAAAACCAATCTCTAAAAGCAATCCTTTAAGATAGAGGATCAAACAATTCTACCTCAAGTTTTCTAAAATTGCCATTAAATCAGAAAAATAGGGAACAATTTGTTTGGAATTTCTGAAACTCTTCTCTGAATAACAATCAGTCAAAAAGCTACACTTCCATCTTAACCAAAACACTTTCTAAAGTCTGTCAGGTTTTTAAACTCCATTTCAGTGTAACGATCTTTCTTCAAAGAGGATACTCTTTTGAATCAGATTGACCCAAAATATGCATTCCCATCATATGGTTTGGTTACCTTTTGACCTATTAAGTCCTACAGATTCTTAACGTGGGAAAGGAGCGTGGGGGTAGTCGGTGGGACGATAAATCTTGACCGTCCAAACCAACACAAAGGGGGCAAGTCACAACTTCAACGACATCGAAAAAATCTGGAAGATGAAAAATATCATAACCAAAGACATTAGATCATGCACATTATAAATTCTATCAAGGATGCAACACTAGTCACTCTAATTTCAGCCAAAACAATGAAAAGGGTGTACACCCAAGAAAAATCAATTATTGTGAAAGTCTGGCTTAAGAGAATGCTTATAACCAGCCCAAGAAAGCTGAGACTACTATTCCTAATGCTACAGCGCCCCCTACAGTTCTCTAGATAAATTGGAAGTGTTTCCATTAAAGAACTGGGCTAAACTCTTAAAACCTCTTTTTTAAAAGCTTCACTCATAAAACACTGCGAACAACTAACCACATCCCAGAAGTAAACACTTTTGTCCTTCCACCTTCCAGCTCTTCATTTCCACCCCTTCTGCTAGTTCTGCCATATGAGTGTGTGCTGTCACAAGACGCTGCATGCTGCCTGCTGGCTTACGAGCCCTGCACCCTGGCACCCCATCAACACTGTTGCCCACAGTCCACTGCCGCAGGCACACGCCAGCTACAGCCCCAGTGCCTCCTCAAAGAGCACAGTGTGCATAATTATGCTAATTAACAAACTGTTCTGAAGTTAATCATCCAAAAGACATAACCTCATTACTACATACACTTAACCCACTAAAAAATTAGTCTGAACATGTTAATATAACAAAAAGTGATAACCCATTTGCAAAGTGTCAGATTTTCTAAATAACAAAATCTAATCTAAAAGTTAGTTTATACTAACCACCTAGCTAAAGAGTATCATAGAAACAATAAAACTATCAAGCCAATACATTAAATGACAGGATGGCATTCACTTTAGTTTCCTGAAATCAAAATTTTAATTTCCTTCTTGAAACTGGTTTGGCAGTGGTATCAGAACAGCAACTTATCTGTGTCAGAAAATCCCAAAAAACTTTAAAAACAAATGAACAGATAGCCATAAAGATTCAACAGGCTGGGAGTCAAAAGCAAACATACGCACTTTCAACTCTAAGTTCCCCAGGTAGGACTGATCTATTGAACTCTTCTCCTACTCCTTTCAGGAATCTTAACTTACACTTCCAGAATCACTTCATTCTCTCCTTCCTTCATCAACCATCCCTGATCTTTCCCAGTTGGCCAGTACAAAAGTCTCTATCCCACCTCCCATGACGTATAGCATGTCTATGTCTATTACCCAACTTGGCACCATGGATCACAAGTCTCTGTCCCACCTCCCATTATGCACAGCGGATCTGTCTCTATCACCCAACTTAGCACTACGGACTGCAAGTCTTTGTCCCGCCTCTCCTTTCTCCCTCTCGCTTCCCTTGGGATAACAGAGTTAGAAGGCCCTCGCCACATGCTAGCATGCTAGCTCTTGAACTTCCCAGCCACCAGAACCACGAGCCAAGTAAACTTGTCTGTGGTATTCTGTGATAGCAGCTGAAAACAGACTCAGACAGATGGCTTCATATTCTAATTTTAAAATGACAGATGTACCCCCCCAAAGCATGAATATTGGTAGTCTTGTCCATTCATTGAAAACTTTCAGTTTAAGATAAGAATCTGCTCAACTCTGTTTCCCCTTCATAGCTTTCCTTCCTTCCTCCCTCCCTTCCTTCCAAGCAGGATTCATTGAGAGGACAGAAAAGCTCACAAAGCAGAGGGGACCCGAAGGGGTTGTCCCATAATCTTTTCTTAAACCTTGGAGCTTACCACCACTCCTATCTAAATTTAAACCCAGTAACACATAATGAAACACGTTGTTGCTTTCAAGTTTACTGTAACACCGTCTCATCATATTCCACAAGGATATGAACTTCAGGTACTGGGCCTTTCAGCTGAACCATCTGGAAGGCCAAGTTCCCACTATCCTTGGTGCTTCCCTAGGGAGCTCTCAGGGCTATCCTTTTAAACGTGCATGTTGCCCTTTCACAAGAGTCTTCCACAACCTCTCCTCCTCCAGCGTTCTCCTTCTAGCCTTCTTATCTCTTGCCAAACATTCCCTCCCCATAGCCATCTACATCCTCTTCTCTCATACAGCCTCCATTCCTTCCTCGTCTCTCCTCTTACCTGATGTTGGCCTTAGCTGTGGCTCCGCTTGCTTTTTACAAATTGGTCTGCCCTATCTCAAAAATTCCCTCACACAATCTCACGGTTCATTTTCATGACAAGAACAGGACACAGAGTTAGAAAGGCCTAGGGTCTAACCCTCTGTAGCCACACTAACTGGAGAAGCTGCAAAATGCTGCTACTGAATTCGTCGGCCTCGCTGAGGGTCATGGCGGAAGCAATGCAAGGCCAGTGGGCAACGGCTCGAGTTTCGGTTTGAAGAGGGTGGTGAGATGAACAGGAAGAGGCAAACCCTCATGGCATACTCCTTGTGAGAATCTGATGCTTGAGGATCTCCCCCATCTCTCCTCACCCCCACCTGTGAAAAACTGTCTTCCACAAAACCGGTCTTTGGTGCCAAAATGTTAAAGACCGCTGCCCTGGACAACTTCTCCCTTCTCCCACGTACATACAACAGCCAAAAGATGTTCCTACAGTACTATAATAGTAGAGGGAGGGAGGGAAGTAAAGGTAGCCATTTGCATTTCCACCAAGAGGGAATAGCTGGCACTATAGTCATACAGTAGTTTCTAAAGCAGGTAAAGGGCTAAACCAGAGCTACATTCACTAACCTGGATACAGTCTGAAAATTCTTCTAAACTAAAGTAGCAAATCACAAGACATGTACAATGCATCATTTACATAAAATTTAAAAGCTCAACAGTATATTATTGACCTTTGTGGGAACAGTGTAAAAACACAGAAGGGAAGGAGAAGCAACTTTAGACTGTGAAGTCCCTTGTGGAGGAAGAAGCAGAGTCTGGAGAATGGTGTCTAAAAGCATTCCAGGGGGCTTCAATTATATCTGTGATATGTTACTTTTTCAGAAAGATTGTAAGCAAAACAGCTCTAGTAACACGTGTTAATCTAGGAGGTAGGCACATAGGTATGATTTATATTATTCTATGCACTTTTCTGTTCATTTGAAACACCGCATTTCTTCAAATAGGCAGGCTTTCCATTCCCAGTGGTACAGGTGACTAGATACTTTGACCAACTCTTCTGCTAAAACCAAATAAAAACAGTGAATAAAATATTTTTTAAAATTCTAAACGCATCCCTGAGCTTACATGAAATTAAGGACTCATCAGAAGCAAAAGCAGGGATCCAAAGATGGAAGAAGCACTCACACATTTACCCTGGAGACGGCGCCCAGGCCTAATGAGTAGGTTTCCATCTTCACAGCTGTGTGAGGCATAGAGACAGGAGATAAAGCCAGGGCCCGCTCAGATGGGATCTAACAAGACACTCCACATAAAGCTGGCATTCTCATCACAAGGAAAAACTGCTTAAAAAACAAACAAAACACCAGGCTCGGTGGCTCAGCCTGTAATCCCAGTACTTTGGGAGGCCGAGGTGAGTGGACTGCCTGGGCCCACGGATTCGAGACCCATCTGGGCAACTTGACGAGAGCTGTGACTCTACAATGAATCAAAAATTAGCTGGGCACGGTAGCGTGCGCCTATAGTTCCGGC